AAAGCAATAATAATTCAAAGAAATTGTCACAAATAATTTTTTTTTCTGTGATCTGGAATATTTTATTATTATTATTATTAAATTAGCTACCAAACACATTTTTCATTTCTAAAAAAAAATTCGTTTTCTGAACATAAATGTTTAAAAATTATGTTCAAATGAATTAACAATGTTCTAGTGCTCTTAAGCAGATCTCAATAAAGGTAATTGATTCTTAATGTACCAAATGACCAATACATTTTGTTGTCTTCCAATTTCAATATTTACATTTCTATGAAAATAATTTATTTTTTTCAAAAACATTAATTACCAAATAATTAGGTATAGCGACTTATTGCCAATTTATTACCATAAGGGAAAAATAATTCTAGGAATAAGAGGTGTAATTTCTTCATTACGGTCCGTCCCGCTTTGTGTATGTAAATAATAATATGATAGTAACTAATTTACCTCCGGGTAAAAAAAGGTAAAGATGTTAAACTGGAGTATGCACATATACATATATGTATATATATTAAACTAGCCACGGAAAATCTGACTGTCTTAACACGGTAACGACTCCAGCTTTGTATAACGGACTGCATATCGGATCATGGAATGTTCGGAACTTATACAGACCAGGAGCCGCCCAAACGATAGTTAATGAAGTAAAAAGGTACAACATACCGGAACAGCCATTCAAGAGGTAAGGTGGCCAGATGGTGGGGAAACCACTATAGACGGCTACACACTATTCTACACCAGGAGAATCGATAAAAATGGGACAGCTGGCACTGGATTTATAGTTAATCCGGTCGCAAGAAAGTCAGTAATAAACTTCACCCCAGTTAATGAAAGGATAAGTGTGATGCGTGTAAGAGGTCGGTGGTTTAATATCGCGATTATTAACATGTATGCACCAACCGAAGAAAAAGAGGATGAGGTGAAGGACGATTTCTACGATCAGTTGGAAAAAGCTGTGGACCAGGCTCCAAAACACGACATAAAATTAGTCATGGGGATACTTCAATGCCAATATAGGTCGAGAAACCCAATTTAAGCCCATCATCGGAGGCCAAAGTTTCCACAAAACTAGCAATGAAAATGCAGTGAGATGCATTAGTCTGGCAGCAGCTAAAGGTCTAGTAGTAAGCAGTACGATGGTCCTGCACAAGGACATACATAAGTATGCCTGGGTAAGTCCTAAAGGAGCAAAAAGCCAAATCGACCATGTGCTGATAGACAAGAGGCATCAAAGCTCCATACAAGACATAAGGAGTTATCGTGGAGCAGACTGCGATTCGGACCATACTCTGATTAGAATCTAACTCAGTCAGAGGCTGAAGCGAATTGGTAACCAATTGGAAAGACAGAGGTACGAAGTCCGTAATTTGAAAAACCCCATAGTACAAGCTGAATTTCAAATTGATCTGAAAAATAAATTCGAACCCTTGAACTCGAAAGATCTCACGGTTGATCAACACTGGGAGGCACTAGAGTCAGGGCTAAAACAAACAGCTAAGGATGTAATAGGGATTCAGGAAAAAAGAAAATCTAAGAAATGGTTCAGAGAAGCATGCGAAAAGGCAATGGAGGAAAGAAGTAAAGTCCTCTGCTTACAAACTGATCAAGCTATGCTGGACAAATACACAACCGACAGGAAACAGACAAACAAAATAATAAGAACAGCCAAAAGAGAATTCCTCAAAGAACGATTACAAACTATTGGGGAAAACTGGCAGGCTGGAAATATATTCGAATTCTTCGCAGATATCAGGAAAGAAAGGGTAGGATATAAAGCGAGAAATACACAAATGCGAGGGAAAGATGGCAAATTGACGGCATCAAAAGAAAAGATCTTAAGCATCTGGAAGGAACACTTCCAGCAGCTGCTTAACCAAGGGCACCTCACAAACGAAGAAGGCATGGACCACACTGAGGACATCGACCCACTTGAGGTTGAAAAACCAGATATTCTGGATATGGAAATAGCTATCGCTAGGCTTAACAGAAGAAAAGCTCCAGGGATAGAAAACCTACCATCAGAATTGTTCAAGGATGGGGGAGAAGAACTCAGAGCCAAGCTGTTAGATCTAAGCCAGAAGAAACGGGAGAAGGAACGGATACCAGAAGTATGGAACACAGGGTTGATCTGTCCTATCCTTAAGAAGGGCTCCATGTATGAATGTGGCAATTACAGAGGCATAGCACTTCTTCCGGTCGCCTATAAAATAATGACTAATATTCTGTTAAATCGGATATATCCGTATTATGAAAACATAATAGGCGATCATCAAACAGGATTCAGGAGAGAAAGAAGCCAGAATTGAGAGATTCGAAAGAAAAGTTCTACGTAGGCTGACAGGACCTATATGGGACCAGAACCATGAAACATTAAGGAGAAGGAACAATAAAGAACTGTTAAAAGAAACGGCTCAGTACATGAAGGCAAGGAGGTTAAGATGGGCAGGGCATGTAGCTCGTAGTAATCCATCAGGACGCCTCTACACGACAATGAATTCCAGAGTAATAGGCAAGAGACCACGCGGGAGGCCAAAAACCAGATGGATAGATAGGATAAACAAAGATACCGCTGAGTTTCATGCAGAAAACTGGAAAGCAGTAGCCCAAGATAGGCAGAGGTGGAGAAGGCTCGTTCAGGCGGCCAATGGTACCCGAAAGATTTACAAGGTCTGTAGAGCCCACCGAAAAAACAATATATATATATATATATATATATATATATATATATATATACTCCAGTTAAACATCTTTACCTTTTCTTACCCGAAGATAAATTAGTTACTATTTATTTATTTAAGAACCTTCATTTAAATGTTTAAATGAAGATTCATAATGGTATTGTAAAAATACAGAAAACGAATGTACTATAAATATGAAGACATAGATTGAGAGTAAAAAAAACAACAGATATATACACATATACATGTACATACGCACATAGATTACCTCCGGGTAAGAAAAAGTAAAGATGTTAAACTGAGGTATATGTATGTATATTATAAAAATACAGAAAACTAATGTACTCTAAATATGAAGACATAGATTGAGAGTAAAAAAAACAAAACAGATATATACACCTATACATACATATACGTATTTATATGGAGAGAGAGAGCATGTCCAAGATTAGTAAAAAATGAATTACATCTCAACATTTTAATGAGATAGAATCTTATAAATAGGAAGGTTAAAAATAAAAACAAACTCAACCTACTCACAATTCGTTATGAGAAGTTATGGGAAATCTTTTCCATATTCATAACAGAAAGAGAAAAAATAAAAAGTGTATAAAGAAAATTGAAACTTTGTTAAATAATAAATAATTAGCCAGCGTCTGATTGAATTGTGAAGAGGAATTGGAATAAGAGGGTTTTTAATGTAGACAAGGATGATGTATGGCGGATTTTAAGCGGGATTGAATTCTAAAATGCAATGAACGGACAATAAAGAAGTGTTTAAATGAGGCGGATCTGCGGAAAGGAGTGTAAAGGTATAAGATCAGAAGTACGAGGTCTAGTGGAGAGGGAGTGAATGGAAGACTTGAATTGGAGGAGATTGTATGAATAGGATGAGCGATGGTTATTGACTATTTGGTAAAGAAATCTGCCTAGGGAATATTGTCTTTGGGAAGGAGGAGAGCCACCTTAACCCAAAATAGCAGTGAGAAACACGGGAACATCTAGGGTACCATTGACAAATCTTACGAAGCTATTTATAATTCTTTTCAGTCTGTCCCCGAGAGGCCATCGTACACCATGCAGCCGTAGTCAAGGTGAGGGAAGATACTAGGAGTCTACGTGCGGGCATGGGTAGGAGAATGGAGGATGGCGGAAGCTGTGGAATAGTTTCAAGGTACCAATTGACCGTCGGGAGATGAGGGCAATATGGTGATTCCAAGAAAAGGATTGCTCAGTGAAAATGCCTAAGTTTTTAACTGAGGAGCCGAAGGTGATGGAATGGTCATTTAGGTCACAGGAAAGGAATGTTGGTATTGGATCTGAGTAAGGGTTTGGAACCAACGATAATGATAAGTTTGTCCAGGAACTGATCCGATTTAAGTCTTCTTGAATTGTGGCAAACGCACCCCGAAACTCAGTGGGAGAGAAGAAAGATAAATTTGGGGATCATCGGCATAGAGGTGATGGGAACAGTGAAGGATTGAATTATGAATGTCATTGATATAGAAACTAAAAGGGAGAGAAGATATACTAGAACCTTGGCCACTACTGAGGACAGAATAAGATAGGAAGACCAAGATTGATTAGGAATAGCTACTGCTTGGGTACGTTGAGAGAGAAAAGATTGAAACCAAAGGATAGAGCTATCGGAAAAGGACTGGATGGAATGGTTGATGGTATCAAAGGCTTTGGAAAAGTCACTAATGATTTTGATTAGGGAGGATTGTGTGGAGTAATCTAGTTGAAAGCCAGATTGGCAAGGGTCAAGTCAATTGGACTGTTCGAGGAAATTAGAAACTTAAGGAAACTATTCTTTCCAAGGGTTTCGAAAAATTAGAAAGGATTGAGATTGGACGGAAATATTATGGGAAAGTGGGATTAGAATTTTTATTTAAGGGATGAATGATGGCTTTCTTCCAAGGGGTAGGAAATATTGAGAAATACTGAGTTCTGAAGGGATAAATTATAAATGAAAAGGAGAATGGCAAGAATTAGAGGGAGGTATAATTTGATAATCTTGGCAGGAGTGCCATCTGTAATAAATAAGTGCTATTAAACATAAAGATGATGTATATTATAGTTTTCTATTTTATGTACAGGAATGTTATTCTCAAGAAACCTGGTACCGAAATTAAGATTTTTCTATCTACAGCTATGAGGGGGGGGGTTAAATATAGTGTACTGTGCTGAAGATGGGAAAAAATCCAGACATTTTTATATGACTGGTGATCATTTATAAAAGGAAGATGCTACTTCACATTATCACTAAATATAATTATTAAATCTTCCGTATTACTCAAAATAGTACATGATTAATCTTTAATGGTACCTACTACCAACAGATCCAAGTGAAGGTTGAAAACCACACACCATTCTAGAAAAAAAAATTAATGTAAATAAAAATAATCCTTTCTTAATTATATTAACAAAATATTCTAACAACTGGTATTATTATCAAAGCTGCATCAGTTTGATAATTTTTTTAAGTTCTCTTATTTATCTGTGGCTTAAAATTAATATTCTGATGCTGGTTATTTTTGTCCCAGATCTCCAAAATAGTTTACTTGTGCCTCTTTTCATGTTTTCAGATGAAAAATGTACTCACTCTTTTATCTCCCTAAAGAGCCAAAGTCAGAAACAATGTAATGACCACTGTTAAATAAACACTGGTACTATGCTTTGTTCGAGAAGTAATGCTTTTGATGGTAGAATATTTAGAAGAAAGAAAAAAAGGTATTCCTCTAGAAATAAAAGAAGTGAAAGAGAGGACCATCAATTAAAGCATATTTGTTGATCCACAGTGACTATTATAATATATGTCATCAAAACAACTATAAAAACAAGTTATACTGATCTTTAGTATGTACTTTAATAGCGCAAACGATATTTAAATTAAATTTAAAGTAATTAATAACAAAATTAAAATAAATAAGATAATATCTGGACAAAATTATATTTGGTGTATATATATATATATATATATATATATATATATAATTTTTTTTTTGGTTGGCGCTACAGACTATGAAGATCTTTGACCGCGAGTGTTGTCTCCTAGACCACATACCAATTTCTGATCTAAAGTATGGGGTAGGGTCTTCAATCCTATGCCCGGTCGGTGTGAGTTGCCTCCAGTAGCCTAATGGGCCTCACATACCCAGGGGAGGGGGATGAATCTCGGGCAGCATGGCTTTCCTTGGTGGACGGTCACCCATCCAAGTGCTAGCCATGCTCGGCGTTGCTTAACTTTGAATACTTACTCCAAGCGCCTTAGCCTGCAAGGCTACCCAAGCCCTGTATAAATGTATATGTATATGGATGTATGTATGTATGTATATATATATATATATATATATATATATATATATATATATATATATATATATATATATATATATGTATATGTGTGTACATATATACATATATGGGGGAGCGGGGTAGCTCAGTGGGTGACTGACTTTCAGAGCTCAAGGTCCTGGGTTCGAATCCGGCTGACTAGTAATTTTTCATTAGCCGTGGATCGACCCTGTCATCTGTAGAACCTCTTGGGGAACACCCAGCCTCTATAAAGTGGGTACTCTTAATTATAGAGGGCCTCAGAGCTTCGATACTCCAAGGTAGGGGAACACCAACAGCCTCGGTACCGCCATCCAGTACATGTATCAATCTACTTCTTGTATCAAGTGACTTGGAATAAGAAGGTAGGAAAATATTAAAAATTGTTAGTTATGGCATATAGAAACTTCAGTTTTTGTCCCAATGATGGCTGTTTGTTTTTTCCAGCTCTGAAGAGGATCCCATTCTGATGTATAAGAAAAGAAGGGATCGAAATATAAAAAAAAAAGGTGGCTTGCTACACATACATGGGTTTGATGGGTTGGGGTTTGGCTGTTGGTGTGCCGCTAGCTTGGAGTATTGAAGCTCGATAAGAAGCTCTGAAGAGGATCCCATTCTAATGTATAAGAAAAGAAGGGATTGAAACGTTAACAAATAAAAGGAATAAACTCCAAATTTATATAGTTTATTAAAATTGTAAATGATCCAACTCCCAAAAATAATTATTACAATATAATATTTAAGTGTATATGAAAAAAATAATTTTGTTTTATATATATATATATATATATATATATATATATATGTATATTTAAGTGCATATGAAAAAAATAATTTTGTTATATATATCACCAAAAATAGTTTAAGATTATATTATATTACAGCACAACAAAACAAACTTTATAAAAAGAGATTTGTTGTTGATCTCCAGTTTGTATTTTGATCAATTGATATTGAATTACTAATCACAACAAGTATACAAATTAGTGTAGTTGAAAATGTTTTTTCCACTGCAGAGAAGGCCTATGGTCCTCTCATTGAATAAAGATTTCATTTCCTTGAAAATATTTATAAGTCAAAATACTAAAACAGAAGCCGTAGTCAGACCACTTTTGATGATTTAATAATACTTCATAGGATGATGACAGAAATGTTCAGTTCCTTTTAGTTTTTAATATCCACCAAAAATTGTTGATAAGTTATAAATTTTATATGAGTAGATTTTATATATAAAATCAATCAGAAGTCAAATATACAGATTGTTATTACTGAAAATATATTAAAATTAGAGCACAAGATCTCACATATCTAGTATCATTTGTACTACAGTAGATAACGACAGTAATAGCTCATTTAGTGAACTAAAACTTCTGCCATCTACTGTATCACGATGGTACTAGATCTAGTTCCACCTGTGTTACTTTTGATAGCACTAAAATCGGGGTGAACTAATGAACTAGTTAAATAAGGTGAACTGAACTAAAGAAACTAGTTCGTTAAAAAGAATGATTTTTCCATCTTTATTATGGAAGGTAAGAAAAAAAATGTCATTAAACACTTTTTTATATAACAGAGAGACTATTACTTTAAACTGATATTTATATCCTCTTTGTTCTTGTGACATGAGAATTTTCATTTGTCAGAATATGGCTATTTCTAATATTATATACCCTATTCCAATGTGGTTTCTTCAACAAAAATGTTTCTCCAATGGGATCAGGGATTTCTTTCTTTGAATTTCAAATGCTTCAATGCTGCATCTGAATGCATAATTCATTTCATTACCAAAGGGAAGCAAATACCAATTTAAAATAATAGATCTTTGTTTTTAATAAAAATTTAATATTTGAATCAGGATTAGAAGATAGGAATATTGTTTTGGACACTTGATGCAATACAAAGTAATAACAATAAAAAATGAGAACTTTTTTTAATTAATTAATTAACATACATCCCAGCTCACTAGAAAAAATATATATTGCTTTGTAATAATTTATTGTAGTTACTTATGATAACACAGGTACTTTGAGGGAACAGAATATCAGATCACATACTTTTTCTTAACAACTATAGGTGAACAAAAGAAAGTTTGTCTAATATTGAAATATTCTACATACACTCCTATGCTCATCCCGAAACAAATTTCTTGGTGAGACCTCAATTCCTAAACCATTGAAAACGCAAGTTTTCTTAATTCACTTTTCCATTCCTTAGAATCCATTTATTTCAGTTCCATTAATAATGAGCCAGAATGATGTTGATTATATGGTTGAAGTAATAGATTAAATTAATTTCAATATGTCCACAATGATTTTCAGTTTTCACCATAATAATTAATACATGACCAAGAACTTCAAAAATTTATATTTTCAAGAACAATGCCTTCCACAACATAATAATACAAAAAGTCACAATAAATCGATATGCGACCACTTAATCATAAAATCAAGTCTTTCCAAAACTAGGCTATAGACAACCTATATCGACTTTGATAATAGACCATTACATCGAAAAATAAATTGTAATCTGAGTGTGATCCGATTCACAATCTGCTTAAAGATAACTTTTTAATACTTTTTGGAGTTCTGATGTATCTTGTTTATCAGCACATGACGAATTTGGTTATTCGCTCCTTTGGATCTTACCCAGGTTTACTTTTGGAAGTCCTAATGTGATAATATTGTACTGCTAACGACTAGACCCATAATTAGCTGCTGCCTGACTAATAAATCTCACTCCCTTGTCATTGCTAGTTTCCTGAAGGCTTTCTATACTATCTCCATAATAATATGAGCACTTGGGTAGCACATACCCTATTTTATTTATTTTTATTATTTAGATATTCTTATTAATTGTTTTTTCATGATAATGGTCATCTAAGGACCGCATGTATATCATTTCTCGGCTTTCTCATTAGCTCATATTCTCTTAATTTTCTCACTCATTTCTTTCTTTCATTCATCAGTCCATTTTTTCTCTTCTTCCCTCTTCCTTTCCACTACAAGAACCTTAATGCGTTTTCTGAACTTTTCTCTATCCTGGAATTCTTTTCCTATTGTTATTTTCTCTTTCATCTGACTGGGGTATCCTCCGATGTTTCTTAGTCCAAGCAGTTTGCGGAATATCTGTTATTTTCATATGCCTGAAAAGTTTTAGTCTCCTTTTCCTCATTGCTGTTTCCAAGTCTTCAGTTCCTTCATACAGTTCTTTGTAGTTGTTTTTTTTAGGCCAGTACTCTTCTCCTACTTTTCTTGGTCAGTGGATATATCTTGGGATTTTTTTCTTCTATTTTTAGTAGTTTCTCCAAACTAGTAAACCCCATTAACTTGCTTTTTCATAACAAAAATTCACTTGGCCTACATTACTCAAAGCGTCTTTTGGTTTTTGTAATTTACGATAAATTATGATTCATTAATACCACAGTCAATATTTTTTTTCTTATTCTGCACAAAAATTGGAATCAATTGATATTTAATAAGCTAAAAGTTTGAGCAAAAATAAATAACATAAATTTTATATTCACACACACACACACACATATATATATATATATATATATATATATATATATATATATAATTTTTTTTTCCTGCTCCTAGGGTTGATTGGAACGAACACCAGCAACATCCAACACTAGGAAAACCGGAACATGTGTCCAATATTTTTCGATGTAGTATGACTGGAAAAATTTTGGTTGAAATGGTGAACCACTGACAACAACCTCCCCATTTAAGTTTACTCAAAATATTCTCAAACAAATCACTCTTCACTACAATATTTACAAATTACTCCACTCAGGATAGAAAGTTTAATTAAAATTGACTTACCTTCATTGGAAATATATTGCACTAGTAAGAAAGGTTGTAAAAAAATACTTCAAGACTTGAAATAAAATAATTAGTCTTTCTCAAGTAAGTTATGAGTTCGAATCTCATTCTCGGGATTCCATAACAAAATAAAAATAATAATTAATAATACTAACTGAGACGTAATCTAAAGTTAAATTTAGATATGAAATTAGTAGGCCTTTTGAAATAAAAACGGGATAAAGACAAGGGGATGGACTGTCACCAATAATATTCAACACTGTTGAAAAATTATAAAGACATTCCAAGAAAAGGATCAATTTGGGATAAAATCAGGTGGCCGAAAGAGCTACCATGTGTACACAGTACCGCCAATGCCTGGCAACTTGATTCATAGTTAACCGGATTAATTCATCAGATAAGAAGTGTAACATAGTGACATAAAAATAAGCAGAAAAACTGAAAGGACTAATTTGCCAACCCAATATTATAAAACACAAGAAAAGAAAAAAAAAAATTTCATGAATTAAGCTAGGGAAAAATCTTCTTCTTCTTTAGTTTCCCTCTGTAGTGCTTCTCAGCGTAGAGGAGCATTCAGTCAGAAATTCCATTCTTCCCTATTTCTAGCTAGCCTCCTCGCCTTCGAGGTCCTTCTCCCTCGCCCTAAAGAGTTGCTCAATGTAGTCGAGATAGGACATCCTATGGTCTTTAGAGGATCTCTTTGGTCATCCATCCTGATAACATGGCTGAACCACTTTAGCTGACGAGTTTCTAGGAGCTTTATCAGTGGGGCTACCTGCAGTTCCTGACGAATCCTTTCATTGTGAACTCGGTCTCTCTTTCTTTTCCCAATCATCCTTAGCAGAAATTTCATTTCGACAGCGGTGATTCTGCTCTCCTGTCGGTCTGTTAATATCCAACTCTCCACTCCATACAAAAGTATGGGTAGATATACTGTCATGAAGATGTGTAGCTTGACATCTTTGCCTACTTCTCTCTTCCCTACCACAGTGCTACATATCTGGTAGTAAACTGCATTTGCCTTGTTAATCCTGTCAGATATTTCTGCATCTACCTTCTCAGATCCGTCAATAAATCATAACATAAAAATAATTAATTATATAATTCCAAGCAGCACCATTAAAAAGATATATATTAATATTTTTTATGTAAATTATATGGTAAAATAACAATATAGGATGAAATACAATAAAATTGGAGAACATTACTCATGGGAAGTCATGTTACTCCAAAACTAGAATAATTTATTTTATGATATAAAAAAAATTAATGGAGTTACCATAGGATAATTGACTTAAGAATAGTTTCTCTATAAAACTGGAAGTTCTCCACAAAATAGATTTTTTTTTTTGTGGGATATAGGAAGCCAAGAAGTGATTCAATATTTTGAAGTAATATTACCCGAAAAGACGTAAAATTCCCTTGTTTTACAGTAAATAAAATAAATACACAAACAATTCGTGTTATAAGAGATAAAGAGAGCCTTTAGGCTAGAAAAATATTCCATCGCACTGAAGAAGCTGCCTCTACAAGATCACAGTCCTAATAGTTCACACAAACTCTCGTCATCAAAGGGTAGATTACCCATGTCGGAAACAGAGAATACATCTCTTTAAGGCTTAAACTTGACACAATAATCTTAAATAAGTTGAAAGAAATGTATTTCACAACAAAACGAAGATTAGTTGAAAAAGTAGAGCTCTAGGAGGTAAATTCCCAGTATACTATCATTAGAAGTAGGTCAATTGTTTCATTATGGCAATTAGCATCAAGGAGTGAAACCCCAGAAAACAGCTAACCATAAACATCAACTTATCAGGGACAATTATTTAAGACTACTGATGACAACAATTAGAATACGAAGATGAAAGTCAAAACTGACTCTGGATCAAAATATAAACAATGAACTAATACCAGATCTTCAATAAATGAGAAAAGGCTAGAAGTAAGCTTGCTTCAAGAAGAGCAAAGGCCTAAGAGGGCCATAAGAGTCTTCTTACCTGAAAGTCTGTGTTAAATAAAATGTAGAGTGAAAAAATGTTATGCAACACTGTTAAGTAACATCTCATTACTATATAATAATATAGTAAAATTTTACAAGTTCTACTTATACAATACGGCCAGACCAAAATCAGAACAATCACACTGTAGATGGAATTCAGAAAATAGCTAAATTATTACAATAATGTTCACCTGGTGTAACCTCTCTTATCAAGATATAAAATTAATTGTGATTATTTCTGGTAGTTATTGACATTATTAGATCTTTAATTATATCACGATTTATGGCTTCTCCTCACTTATCCAAAAAAAACCTTTAACAGATACTTTAAGTTGGATTCAGGGCTTTCCCAAGGAGGGATTTAATCTCATCCATCCTTAACACTCAGCAACCAACCAAATTCAATCTACAGTGATTATGGACTAGCTTTCATGTCGGAGTGACACTCCTCAGTATTTAAATTAATTTATTTCAAGTACATAAGACAATGAAAAAAAAAAAAAACTGGTTTTCTTTTAAACAGTTATTTCACTACTTTTTTAAAGTGTTAATGTAAATCACAACCATATTTTCTTCTTATCAAAAATATTAACTATAGGAAACATTGGAAAAAATAAACTTGGTTCACAAAGAAGGCTTTATCTTCATTAATGATAATAATAATTCTAAACATTTAGATAGATATATGTTTTAATTTTCAGTATGAACAAAGGAAATCGCTCTGGGGAAGAAATGAATACCTGCTTTCAGCCCAAACTTTCCCTGTCATATCTCTTGAACCGCTTACAATAGCATTATCCATTACACTAATTGCCCGCACATCATTAGAATGAGCCAAAACTTCGTTCCTGAATTTATAATTTTGCTGATCCATTGTAACAGTCAAATTTAACTTTGAAAACGACGGTTAAATCAAAATGTAATAATAAGAATCGATTATGCTGAACAACGATGTACAAACTAGGAATCGTGCATAACGATATATGCATAAGCAGAACGATCTACCAAACTTTTTTTTTTTTTTTTTTGGCTTTAATTTTTTATTCACACCTGTCATAATGGTAATGACAACCAGTGAATGTGAGGTTGATTGCAAAATATAATGTCATGAAAGGCATGAGGAGGATCAGTGCCCAGCGGCTCCTCACTCGGCGTGATATCTACATTAGGCGAGGAGGTCCCTCATCCAGCTCCTCTTCAGTCTCCTACAAACGTTACCTGGCATATTCGTAGTGGCCATGTCATTTATAAGTGTATTAGGATGTCCTTGTAAGTTGTCATGGAATCGTTTGTAATGAGTTCGTATATGTTCGTTAACAGTCGGCATAAGGAGGTCTGTGTGTAAAGTTATGTTGCTAACGTACCAAGGTGCTTTTGTAATTGTTCTGAATGTTTTTGCTTGAAAGATTTGAAGTTTGTTTAAGTGAGTCTTTTTAGCAGTTCCAAATATCTGTGATGCGTAAGTCCAAATAGGTTTTAGTAAGTAATTGTACGTGTTCAATTTCTGTCTAAGTTTTAGTTTTGAATTTTTCGAAAGAAGTGAACTCAGAATTCTTAACCTTTGATTTAGCGTTTTTCGTTTCTTTATTATATGCGGGCCCACGTCATTTTTCTGTCAAATGTCAGACCAAGGTAGTGAACGGTGTCTGTCTGTGGAATCTGGGTGTTGTCAAGGAAAACTGGAGGGCATGTTTCATGTCGAAGCGTAAATGTGATGTGCTGTGATTTGTCTTGATTTAGTCGGATTTTCCAAATTTTGAACCAGTCATGTAATCTTGTTAAATACTGTTGTAGGGTATGTGAGGCGTATATTGGATTTTTGTGTCTTGCTAAAATTGCTGTGTCGTCTGCATATGTCGCTGTTAAAATGTTGGGACTGCAGGGTATGTCATGGGTGTATGTGATATAGAGTAGTGGAGCGAGTGCTGAACCTTGAGGTACTCCTGCTGAGATAGACCTGATGGAAGATAACTCTGACCCGTGTCGGACCGAGAAAGATCTATCGGAAAGGAAGAATTGTAAAATTAGATAATATGTAGGTGGGAGTATTGTCTTGAGTTTAAAGAGAAGACCCTGTTGCCAAACTCTGTCAAACGCTTGAGCAACATCCAGAAATACGCCAGTTGCATATACTTTCTGCTCTAGTGCTGTAGATATGTAGTCCGTTACTCTATGTAGTTGGTGTACAGTTGAGTGATGTGCCCTAAATCCAAATTGATGGTCAGGTATTATTTGGGTGTTTTTTAGTATATCAACAAGTCTTTTGTTCAGTAAGCTTTCAAAAATTTTGGAACAGATAGGTAGTAAGCTGATTGGTCGGTATGAGGAAGGTGAGTTTTTGTCCTTGTTAGGCTTGTGAATTATTATTATATGTGAGTATTTCCATTGTAGTGGAAATTTAGTTGTCCTCAGTATTGCATTATAAATAGTTGTCAAAAGCACTAGAGCTTTTCTAGGCATTTGTTGGAGCACTTCATTAATCAAGTCATGACCAGGAGCTTTTTTTTTAGGCAACTTTTTGATTTGTTCAGCAATCTGGGAAGGTGTGAATGAAATAGGAGGTGAAGTTAGTTGTAAGGACACGTCTAAAGTGTTTAGTACATTGTTATCGTGCACAGTTTTAGTGAAGTCTGTGTGTGGTACAAAAACAGAAGATAGATATTCGGCAAAGAGTTCTGGTTTTTCTCCGTCCGTCACGGCCCAGGAATCATCTTCTCTTCGAAGGGGTGCTGACACTTCACGATGCTTGATAAGGTTTTTGGTATGTCTCCACAAGCTTCCATCGTCGGTTGAGAGATTTCTGATGTAGCTGTCATAGGTTGTTCGTTTGAATTTTCCAATCTGTCGCTTGAGTTCATTATTAAGTCTGTTGTAAGTTCGTTTATCTGATGGGGGTCTGTCAGTCTGCCATATCTTGCGAGCTCTCCTCTTCGCTCTAATCAAGTCCCTTATGTATTGTGGGTACATTGGTAGCAACTCATATTTTTGAGGTTTTGCTACTGATGAAGACCATGCTGCTTGTTGAATATTTCGTGTGAAGTATTCAACGGCATCCTCAAGTTCTTCTTCGTCTTTAATGGATAGAGGAACAGAGAGAGCAGTGTCCAAATGGTTCTTGTACCTGTCCCAATCTATTATGCCATTGATCAGGGACAGTTTTTTTGTAGCTTCACAAGGCTCTTCAAACAATACCAAATGCAAAAGGGAATGATCAGAGCAGAGATCTGAACTCGTTGTTATAGTGTGAGGTGTTGTTCGGAGTCCTTTAGTTATGAAAAAATCGAGTAAGTCTGGTGTTTTCCGTCTAGAAGTTGGCCAGTAAGTAGGCGAATTAGGTGATATTGTGTCTAATGAAAGCTCATAAAGAACATACCTAAGATTCCTTCCTCTTGGAGTAGATAGTCTGGATCCCCAGAACTGATCTTTGGCATTGTAGTCGCCTGCAACAAAGCATCTACCAAGACGTTTAAAGAAATTACTAAACATCGTGGGTGTCAGGACATACTTCGGAGGGCAATAAACCGCAGCAAGAGTAATGTTTTGTCTTTGTGTTGATAGTGTAATGGCTGTAGCTTGAATCTCTGGTGTTATGGGTAATTGTTATGGATTATGTTTTAGAATTGTTCTGATAATTATAGCAGTGCTCCATGTGAAGTTCCGTCAGGGTGGTCAGTTCTGTAGATTTTGTAACCACAGATGTAAAATTTAGAATGTGGTGTCAAGTGTGTTTCTGTTATTAGTGCAATGTGAATGCGTTTCTCGTGTAAGTATATGTCTAGTTCGGTTCTATGTTGGTTCACTCCGTTTGCGTTCCATAGTATAATAGACATGGAGCCCACAGTCGTCTGATTACGGGGTATATTTTTGGGTAAGAGCGAGAGTAGCCTGAGATGGCTGTTGTAGAAGACTGAAGAGGGGCTGTATAAGGTTATTGAGACCGCTAATCAAATATATGATATCACCTGAGGCGGTTTCAATAGTAGGGAGCGTTTGGGCAATGCCCCTACTCATACCTTTAGGTCTCTGTTGTTGGTTTGTTGCCGGTGTTGGTTCTCGTTGCTGTCTCTGCTGCTGCAATTCTGGTCCTTAGTGAATACCAGCAATGAAGGCGCTGAGGCTGATGCAGTGGCGGGAACTTTTGTAGTTCTGGTGGTGGGGGTTGAACTCTAGGAGGCCTCTGCAGAGTATGGTTTCTTGTGCGGCTCTTCCTTAGCTCTTTCAAAGGATCGCAACCTCTATAGTTAGCAGGATGTGGTCATTGGCAGTTGCCACATTTTGCGACTGTTTCTCTTCTTTGTACAGGAAGTGCTTTCGTGAGACATAGCACATCTGACACACCTCGGCTGGTGGTTGCAGTACGTCTTGGTAAGGCCATACTGCTGACACCGTATACACTGCGGAATGATCCTTTTTTTTCTTGGCTCTTCGATTTTCACGTGTGTATAATATAAAAATTCATTGTCGAAAATTTTTTCATTGAAAGTTGCTTTGGACACGTCAACGAAAAACATTGGCAACGGTGTTTTAAGTCTTGAAATAACATTTACAACATTGGTTGCATCGTAACCATAGTTGGCAAGTTCACTTTTTATGGTGGCTGGAGGTGTGGCGTGGTGTAAATTCTTAATGACGATTCGCGGGGTTTTATCTTCCGGGAGTTGATACGTGTGAAAATCAGCTCCATCCCTTCTAAGACTGGTCACTAGCCTACGGTATACTTCTACATTTTCAGGACACACGCTGACTCCTATTATAGATGTTTTTAATCTGAACCTGTTAGGTCCACCTTCGTTGTGAAGAAAGGTTACTAAGGCCGTGTACGTCTTTCACGTCGTTTATATGAATAGGTGGAGGTCTAATAATAATGGGATTATTATTTGCTGGCTGTCTTTCTTCCGGAGTACTAGATAAAACTTTCGATAATAGTTTATCATACCTAAAGACCGTACGAGTAAAATACGAAATAAAAAAAAGTACGAGTTCGCGTCCCGGTGCCGGAGGGGATTTTAAATTCCCCGCCCTCACACCCCGGCCCGGGAAAATCCCGTATAGCCTAAAAGGCGAGGTAGGGAAGAACAAAAAAAAAAAAAAAAAAAAAAAAAATACCTAAAGACCGTCTGACCCCACGGGCATTCTTAGGTAATGGGGCTTCCTGGATGGCCTTTACCCGCTCCGGATCCGGCCGCACCCCGTTTCGTGAGACGACGTGACCGAGAAACCGGATTTCACGTAATCCGAATTGGGATTTTTCTCGAGATATTTTGAGACCGAACTCGCGTACCCTGTCAAAGAACCGTTTGAGGTGTTCCACGTGATGCCCTTCGTTTCTACTGAAACGATTAGGTCGTCCATATAGACCTGTGAATAGGTTTCGCCCATTCGCTTTCTCAAAATTTCGAAGGTGGCGAGAAACCCATAGCATACGCCGAGCGAAAATTAAATGAAGCCGAACAACGTTACAGTGCGATTGAGCGCGAACTTTTGGCAGTTGTATGGGCCGTGGAATACTTCCTATCCTACGTATACGGAAGATGGTTCCAGTTACTGACCGAGCATAAGCCCTTATTACATCTCGGAACCCTTAAACAATCATCCGGGTATCACGGTGGAAAGAACGGCTGGCGGCTAACGATTTCCATGTAATACATAAAAAGGGCGTTGACAATGCTGTCGCCGATTGGTTATCACGGGACTTAGCACTGAACGCGATCGAGGAAGCCCCATAGTAGGAGGAAGCCCCAGCGGAGCCATTCGCGTTACGGTATTTACATGAGTGGTCTGAAAGCAGACCGGAGATTCCTTTAGTCCAGAGTGAGGCCGAGGAAAATGCAACCACGACGGACAGACCCGCGGAACTACCCGAAGTAGACGGGC